GAAGGACGGGTGACCAGGGAGGGCTGCGAGCCCATCAGGGATGGATCTGCAGGAATGAGAGGACCCTCTGGGTGGAGAGGACAGGACAGGACAGGGCCGGCGGGCATGGGCGGGCGCCAGCGGCACCAGGCTGACACCCCTGATTTCAGTTGGACTGTGCGGCACAGGCATATTGGGACTGCCTTGGGTTAGAAGGCTCGGGGCTCCGGTCCCAATGGCACAGTCATGGTTACTTAATGCCAACAATAGCAATAATAATAACCGTGTGCTGAGAGCCCCTGAGAACTCCCGAGGGGCCAGCACTGCTGAGCATGTGTGCAGTGGCCTCTTCATCTTCCTCACCGCCCTGGGCAGCAGCCTCCATCACTGTCCCTTCTTGGCCAGCCGAGGCCCAGAGGGCTCAAATGACAGGCCCGACAGCCACGGGGCAGATGGGATGTGAATGGGGCTCTGTCTCCATGGCCACCCCTGTGGCCTCAGCCTCTCCATCCGTCGAATGGTAAGAGCAATGCCATCAGTACCAGGCAGCCGCGCAGGTGGTGCCCCGCCAGTTGCCACCCCGGGGCCCACTCCCTCCCTGAAATGCCACCAACGGTCTTCGTCCCCAGGCTGCTGGAGGCTAAGGCCTAACTGCTCACAAAGCATCGCGGCCCGACGGCACCTTGGAGACCCACACGGCTGACAGGGCGGCCACTGGCCACGCGGCTGCCCAGTGCATGGGTGTAAAATGCACGGCACTTGCAACACCTCCTGTGAGAAGAGTGTACACAGGCTCATTAGTAAGTTTTCATCTTGATCATGTGCTGAACTCATAACACCTTGAATATATTGGGTTAAATAAATACATCATTAAAATTGATTCACCTGTTTTGTTTTGCTTTTTTTTTTATTGTGGCTTCCAGGAAGTTTAAAATTAGATATGCAAAGCAAAACTGAAGGAACAAAATAGCAGCAGACTCACAACTCCAGGAAGGGACTAGCGGTTACCAAAGGGGATGGGTGGGAGAGGGCAGGTGGGCAGGGAGGGAGACCCGGATTGAGGGGTATCGTGATTGGTGCACATGGTGTGTGTGGGGTCACGGGGAAGACAGAGTAGCTCAAAGAAGACAAATAGGGACTCTGGCATCTTACGATGGGCAGTGACTGCAATGGGGTATGGGGGGGACTCAATACTAAGGGTGAATGTAATAACCACATTGTTTTTCTTGTGAAACCTTCATAAGAGTGTATATCAATGATACCTTAATTTAAAAAAATAGGTATGCTGTTCCCACGGTCTTTCTGTTGGACAGTGCTGGCATCAAGAGTGACAATTATTATTTTGTGATTATGACTATTCCAGCAATACTATTGTTCCTTATGCCGGGGGCCTCTCAGATACAGTCTTATTTTTTAAAAACTTTTAAAAGTGTATTTCTACTTATTATAAAAGTAACTTTATACAGCATCTTACTACGCTGATGGATAGTGACTGTAATGGGGTTTGTGGGGAGGAACTTGGTGAAGGGGGGAGTCTAGTAACCACAATGCTCTTCATATAATTGTAGATTAATGATAATAAAATGAATTTTTAAAAAAGTAACTTTGCTCATTAAAGAAAAAAATAACTCAAGAATAAAAATTGCCCATAATCCCCAGCAGCTGGAGTTCACTACTGAGAGGAGCTTGGCATGTTTCCTTCCAGTCTTCTCTTGGTGCAGAGAACCTGCAGCTTCTCTATTTTTACAAAGTGCCGAGCACACAGCATGCTGTTTGGAGTTCTCCAGTGCTCCTTACTACCGTAATGCACGCATTCCCCCTCGGCGTTAACCAGGCCTCGGAAATGCCATCTGATGGCTGCAGGGTCTGTTGTGCCTCAGTGGACTCCGCCCAGCGATCAGTGAGGACATCTGCTAAGATCCTCCCTCCCATGCCCAGCCCAGCACTGCCCCTGTCTGTCCCGTCAGCGTCATCCCTGAGAAGTGGCAGCCAAGTTCAGGGGCTAAGAGCCAGGACTCTGGCCAATCCCAGGTCTGCCGTCCCTTCCTGGGTGGCCTTGGGCAAGTCCCCGCACCTCTCTGTGCCTGTTTCCTCCCTGGAAGGTGGAGATAATTCATAATCCCTCACATGAACCCCTCGAGGCCAGTTGTATCTTGGCATTCTGATATTAGGTCATAACACACAGCATATTTTCACAGCACCCCTGTGGGTGTTTCTACTCCCTATCAAATGTGAGAATATTTCTAGAGTGAAATGTTTGAATAGTCACATGAGTGGGATCAATAAAAGCTTTAAATACTTAGCATGAGTTCTGATCAGGTTTTCCCACCAAAACCTGGGATGGGATTTGGTGCCGAAGTCATGAAAAATCTGGTTGTCGGAGCTTTACGGATTTCAGAGTTGGAGGGATTGAATGAGTTCCTATCCTGCAGGGCAGTTTGGCAGGTTAAATGAGTTGTTGCCCGGAAAGCATTTAGAACAGCGTCTGACACCGAAGAAGGGCTCTGTGCGTGTTAACTGCTGGTGGAAATGTTTTTATTTTTTTTTAATGAGACGTAATTTACATATCATAAAATGCCATTTTGTGTGTACAGTGTGGGGAGTTCTGACAGTTGCACTCACCCATGTAGCCACCACAGCAATCTGACACATTTCCATCACCCCGGAGAGCTCCCTCTGGCCCTCCCACCCTGTCCTTCCCTGCATGTGCTCGGAGACAACCGCTTAGCCCACTGGAACGCAAATGAATGGGACCCTCCCACACACGCTCCTTTGGGTCTGGCTTCTCTTGCTCAACACGACGCCTGTGAGATTCATCCAAGTTGTGTGTGTATGAGGTTTGCTCCTTTCACTGGGCAGCCATGCTGTGCCAGCGTAGCGCGTACAGCGAGCCCGTCACCCACTGGCGGACACTTGGGTGCTTTCCAGTTTAGACACCAATGAACGCAGATGCTGTGAGCGCCCATCACCAGCAACAGCGGGAGGACAGCTGCTCTCCTGTCACTCACGGGGCAGCACTTGGGAGCGGAGTGGCCAGGTTCTCTATAACTATGTTTAACTTCATAAGAAAACAGTTTTCCAAGGTGGTCTTATGGTCTTACACTCTCATGGGCAAAGGGAGAACTTGGGCCGCTCAGCATCCTCACCAGCACTTGGTGACGCTGCGATTGTCACCAATTATCAGTGGTATTCGTGTCACTGATCCGTGTCTCCCATCCCCCCAGGTGATCCGGACGGACACATTCAAGCACCTGCGGCACCTGGAGATCCTGCAGCTGAGCAAGAACCTGGTGCGCAAGATCGAGGTGGGCGCCTTCAATGGGCTGCCCAGCCTCAACACGCTGGAGCTGTTTGACAACCGGCTGACCACCGTGCCCACGCAGGCCTTCGAGTACCTGTCCAAGCTGCGCGAGCTCTGGCTGCGCAACAACCCCATCGAGAGCATCCCCTCCTACGCCTTCAACCGCGTGCCCTCGCTGCGGCGCCTCGACCTGGGTGAGCTCAAGCGGCTGGAGTACATCTCGGAGGCGGCCTTCGAGGGCCTGGTCAACCTGCGCTACCTCAACCTGGGCATGTGCAACCTCAAGGACATCCCCAACCTGACAGCCCTGGTGCGCCTGGAGGAGCTGGAGTTGTCAGGCAACCGTCTGGACCTGATCCGGCCCGGCTCCTTCCAGGGCCTCACCAGCCTGCGGAAGCTGTGGCTGATGCACGCCCAAGTGGCCACCATCGAGCGCAACGCCTTCGATGACCTCAAGTCGCTGGAGGAGCTCAACCTGTCCCACAACAACCTGATGTCGCTGCCCCACGACCTCTTCACACCCCTGCACCGCCTGGAGCGTGTCCACCTCAACCATAACCCCTGGCACTGCAACTGCGACGTGCTCTGGCTGAGCTGGTGGCTCAAAGAGACGGTGCCCAGCAACACGACGTGCTGCGCCCGCTGCCATGCGCCCGCCGGCCTCAAGGGTCGCTACATCGGCGAGCTGGACCAGTCACACTTCACGTGCTATGCGCCCGTCATTGTGGAGCCGCCCACGGACCTCAACGTCACCGAGGGCATGGCCGCTGAGCTCAAGTGCCGCACTGGCACCTCCATGACCTCCGTCAACTGGCTGACGCCCAACGGCACCCTCATGACCCACGGCTCCTACCGCGTGCGCATCTCCGTCCTGCACGACGGCACGCTCAACTTCACCAATGTCACCGTGCAGGACACGGGCCAGTACACATGCATGGTGACGAACTCAGCCGGCAACACCACTGCCTCGGCCACACTCAACGTCTCTGCCGTGGACCCCGTGGCGGCTGGCGGCGCCGGGGGAGGCGGGGGCGGCCCAGGGGGCGGCGGGGGCGGCGGAGGGGGCAGTGGCGGCTACACCTACTTCACCACGGTGACAGTGGAAACCCTGGAGACGCAGCCCGGAGAGGAGGCCCTGCAGCCGCGGGGGACGGAAAAGGAGCCGCCGGGGCCCACGACGGACGGTGCCTGGGGCGGGGGCCGGCCCGGGGATGCGGCGGGCCCAGCCTCGTCGTCCACCACGGCACCCGCCCCGCGCTCCTCGCGGCCCACCGAGAAGGCGTTCACGGTGCCCATCACGGACGTGACGGAGAACGCCCTCAAGGACCTGGACGACGTCATGAAGACCACCAAGATCATCATCGGCTGCTTCGTGGCCATCACGTTCATGGCCGCCGTCATGCTGGTGGCCTTCTACAAGCTGCGCAAGCAGCACCAGCTCCATAAGCACCACGGGCCCACGCGCACCGTGGAGATCATCAACGTGGAGGACGAGCTGCCCGCAGCCTCCGCCGTGTCCGTGGCCGCCGCCGCCGCGGCCGTGGCCGGCGGGGGCGGCGTCGGCGGGGACAGCCACCTGGCCCTGCCCGCCCTGGAGCGCGACCACCTCAACCACCACCACTACGTGGCGGCCGCCTTCAAGGCGCACTACAGCGGCAACCCCAGCGGCGGGGGCAAGGGCCCGCCCGGCCTCAACTCCATCCACGAACCTCTGCTCTTCAAGAGCGGCTCCAAGGAGAACGTGCAAGAGACGCAGATCTGAGGCCCGGCCGCGCGCACGCGCAGGGCAGCCCGGGACGGGGCTCGGGGCCGGTGCGCGCGGCTCCGCGGGGCGGCTCGCGGCCGGGACGGGGCGGCTGGGGCGTGGCGCTCCCCGCTGGTCCCGGGCCGGCCCTCCGCCTCCGCGGGGAGGAGCTCCGAGGGGGGTCCCGCCCCCTCACTCCCGTCAGCCCACCCTTTACGTTCCTTTTTTGCAGTTTGACGCCTGACCCCTCCCAACCCTCCACCCTGGAAACTGAAAAGACAGACGCGTGGTGACAGCCTCCGGCCCAGGGGCCCCCCCCCACTCGGGGCCGAGCCCACCCCGCCGCCCCCTGGCTGGGGTGGGGCAGCCTCCACCCGGCTCCCCCTCCCCGGGCGCCCAGCCCCCACCTGCCCCACAGACTCTTTTGATACTGAAGGGAGGTTTGCGTCAACGACTACCTGCTCTGTAATTACTTTAAAAAAAAAACACGGAAAAAGTAAAAAAATATTTTTTTTGGTCATGAAAGCATGGAGGAGAACAAAACCAGAGTGAATGTTGGGAGGCAGAGAGAGGGTGGAAGCTGAACCTCTCAGGCCCCATCCGGGAGGTGGCCGGTTGACGGGGGCGGTGACACTGCCTGGTAGCCTGAGGCCCTCACCCTTGACCTTGGAGACTCAGCACACCTGGCACTGGTATTTAATCTCCAGGAAGCCCTTCTGAGGCACCCCTGGGTCCCTCTCCAACAGCCCCCGGCTTCACAGCATCCCTTCCAGGTGCTGGGTAACAGTGGCCACACTGGGGGACAGAACAACAGAACGCGGTGCCTCCGGGGCCAGGAGCCTGAGGCCGAGGTGGGGCCGGGCCTGAGCCTGCAGGGGGGGCCCGTACATGCCTCTCTCTTCCAATTTCTGGCCACCCCAGGCGGCCCCTGGCTTGCCGCAGCGCCACCCCAGTCACATGGCGTTTTCCCTGTGTCCACATCCAAAGGTACCCTTTTTAGAGGGAAATTAGGGCCCATCCTGCTCCAAATGACCTCACTTTACCCTGGTCCCCTGCAGAGACCCTATTTCCAAATCCGGTCACGTCCATGGTGATCAGGACTTCAACGTGTCTTTGCGGGGACACAGTTCAACCTCTAACAGAGCCAAACCAGAGTGTCCGCCTCCACTGCAAATCCCTTCAAGACACCGGCACCGACAGGGAGCGGGGAACCAGGGGCCCCACGCAGAGCCCTCGGAGGGAAGGGAACCAGCCGGGAACCAGGCGCAAGTGGGAGCAAACGCCCAGGGTCGGCCAGGACAGAAGGCAGCTGCTGGGGCGGGGTGGGGGGGAGTTGGAGGGGGCGGTGGCCGGCAGCTCAGCCTCAAGGGGGCTGGGCCGGGCCTGGGCTGCCATTTCATGCTGTCCTGACAGGCAGAGGCCCGGGGAAGCGAGGCTGAGGCGCTGCTCCGGGTAGATGCGGCCAGTGGACACGCAGGGCTGGCCCGGTGGTGCACCGTGTCTCGGCCTCCTCCCCGCGGCCCAGCCTGGACCCCACGCACGGCGGCCGGGGCTGGTGCTCCGAGGCCTGGCCCCGCCACTCTCCGCCCCTGTTTCTGACCCACAGCATCTGATCTCTCCGCAGCCTGGGCCTGGAGGAGCGCCATCTCCTCTTAGAGCCGACGCAGCACCGGCCCCTGGAGCCGAGTCAGGGGCCCCTGTCCCGTCTGTCTGCCTCGGTCTGCTCTGCCGCCTGTCGCCCGTCACCCCGGGACTCCTGGGGCACCTGGTTCCCGGCTTCCCCTTCTTTCATGCCCTCTCACCGTCTTTGAGGGCAGACTGCCCCCACACACAACACCCTGGTTGCCATGGCAACACTGCCGCGGGTACCAGGTGGTGGTTGGGGGCAGGGAGCAGACGCTGCTGCAGCCTCCGCCATTTCCAATGCCAGGCACCCGCGAGGCGCAGTGGCTGGGGCTCATTTTGGGGGGCACTCAGGGCCTCCCAGGCTTCTTCTTGGTTGATGGGAGGTGGGGAGAAGGGAGGGACAGGCGCGAGGGTGAGAACCAACATGGAGGGAACTGATGGCCTCGTGGCCAGGGGAGGGAGGATGGAAGGTGAGCTGAGGGAGGGGGGTTCTGGACAGGATCTGGGGCTGCGGCCATGGACACTGGGATGAGCCGAACTCCAGCTCCCGCTGCCTGGTGCAGGGACAGGGCTTGACCAGGCCAGGCCTCCCCAGGACCTCGCAGTGGGAGGAGATGGGGCCTGGCCTGTGGGGTACAGAAGCAGCCAGCCCAGAGGGGACAGGAGCAGGCGCTGGAGGGTTGGAGTTCCAGGGAGAGGCCAAGAGACCACAAGGGGGAACCAGGGGAGGACATGGCAGAGGGCGGCTGCCAAGCAACACAGGTGCCAAGGCACAGGGGGGCGGCCGCAAGGGTGGGGACTGCAAACGCAGGAACGAGGGGACACGCTGAGCCCCAAGTCCCCCTCATCATCTCCTCTCCCCCACTCCCAGCCCTCTCTACCCCCAGCCCAAGCAGGATGCCGTTTCCATGACAACCCGGCCAGCCAGAAAGTGGGACGGGGGGCCTACAGAGGAAATTGTTCACATCAGTAGGGAGGAAGGGGGGCAAGAGGCAGAGCAGGGCCGGCTGGGTGCTCCGGGCCAGGGCCCTGAGCCCCAAATCCTCGCGCCCACTTCCCCCAGGATGCTCACTCCACCCTGAGAACCCGCACCATCCCTTCTGGGCCACTACAGGGAAGGGGGAGGCCCAGGAGAGGCTCAGGGGTCAAATGTCCAAAGATCAGCCACTGCCCAGGCTTTGCATGTGGAGGGCAGTGAGCAGCCGGCAGAGCGCAGAACGCAGACCACCAGATTCCAGGGATGGCCCTCCACAGGGCCCCAAGGAGGGTGGGAGTGGTGGGCTATGGCCGCCTTGGTGAGCCCCTGACCATCTGGGTCTCCTTCTCAGACCCCTTCCTGAAGCCCCGGCTCTGTGCACTCCCTCCCAAACTGGTCACCTGCACTGCCTGGCATCTGCCACGTCCCACTGTGCAGCTCCTTCCCTCCCTCTGGTCCCTGTGCCCCCCTCTCTGGTCCCTGTCCCTCTCCCTCTGGGTCCCTGTCCCCCTCCCTCTGGGTCCCCACCCCCCCTGGGTCCCCATCCCCCTCACTCTGGGTCCCTGCCCCCTCTCTGGGTCCCTGTCCCCCTCCCTCTGGGTCCCTGTCCCCCTCTCTGGGTCTCTGTCCCCATCTCAGGGTCCCTGTCCCCCTCTCAGGGTCCCTGTCCCCCTAAGTCTCTGTCCCTCTCCCTAGGACAGTCCCTTGTCTCCCAGCTGCTGACTCAGGGACCAGAATTGGGCCTAGAACTTGTTTTTGTCTGGAATCGTGACCCAAGCCGAATGGCAGGGAGTGTGCCCCGTTCTCTGCAGCTCCAGAACCTCGCTGCCGTCGTGGAGAGGTCAGTGACCTCATCTGGAGAGAGCGGGGCTCCCTGAAGCTTCTGTTCTGGCTTACCTTGGGTGCTGTGTGATCTCAGGCAAGTCCCTCCCCTTCCCCAGGCCTTGGTTCACCCCAAAGTGAAATGGGATAAGCTCACCTACCCTGTTTCCCCTCCAAGGCCAGGGTGAAGAGTGATAGGCCTTATGCACGCTGAGGGAATCTGGGAGAGGAGGCCTGATACCTCTCCAAGGCGCTCCCACATCTCTCTCCTCTCCCAGGCACCCTGACCTTGTGGTGGAAGTAGCCCACCCCAAAATAATCCACGAATCTGGGGCACAAATCCTGCGCCACGCCAATCTCCTGGTGAGCCCTGTGTGTTTGGCCTTGACCCCACCCCACCCTAAGATGGGATCTGTCCTGACTGCAGCCCCTCCCCACCTTCATCCACCCAGGTGGGGTCCCCCTCAGCCCTGGCTGACCAGGCCACAGAACGGCAGCTCCGGGAGGCCTCGCACTGCTGGGGCCATGCTGTGTTTGTGGCCCGGGGGGCCCTGTGGGGCATTGAGGATATTGCCAGATTGGACGCGGCCGGGGGCCTCCAGGTGAGCGCCCCCGGGCTCCCCAGCAGCCGGTAAGGGGCCTCTGGGGACCCCTAGTCCTCTGAGCCCAGCTTTCACTTCCAGAGCCTCCGTGTCACCATGGCCACACACCCTGATGGCTTCCGGCTCGAGGGACCCCTGGCGGCAGTACACAGCACCAGGCCTCGCACTGTACTCTACGAAGGCCCTGTGCGTGGACTCTGTCCCTTTGCCCCTAGAAACTCCAACACCATGGCCGCTGCTGCCCTAGCCGCCCCCAGTCTGGGCTTTGACCATGTGATAGCGGTGCTTGTGGCTGATCTCAGGTGAGCTAAGCCAGGTGGGGGTTTGGGCCGGGGCCAGGCCGGCCAGACTGACCACCCTGCTTGCCCCAGCCTCACGGACATGCATGTGGTGGATGTGGAGCTGACTGGACCCCCAGGCCCCACAGGCCGGAGCTTTGCTGTGCGCACCCACAGAGAGAACCCTGCCGAGCCAGGCGCTGTCACCGGCTCCGCCACTATCACCACCTTCTGGCGCAGCCTCCTGGGTGAGGCCAGGCCCCTCTCCAGGGCCCGTGGCCCCTCTCCCCAAGCCCTGGGCTCCTGCGCTCCGCAGAGCTTGAGTCTCCTGCTCTGTTCTGCAATTCTGAGCCTGTTAACTAACCTTCGTTTCTGAGTCTCCTTAACCTGCTACTCCACAACTTTAAATCTTTTTACCGCTCTCTCTGCTTCAGTCTCCTCTGCCTGAGTCTGTGGCGCCCTCTCACTGGGACCATACCATCTTTCTTCCTCTCTGTCCACCACGCAGGTCTCGGCCCCCTCTGGGTCTCAGTCCCTCTCTCTAGGTCTTCTTCCACCCCTACCATGCATGGTCTGCGCCTTCCTCCAGGTGTCCGTCCCTTATCTCTCTGTCTCAGCCTTCCATTCCTTTTATCTCCACCCCGCAGGCTGCTGCCGGCTCCCCTCCACGCCGGGGATCCATCTCTGCTGAGGCCTCCTTCTTCCCGAGGTCACCCTCGTCTCATTCATCTCCCACCACCACCGTCCCGCCACTGCCCTGGCCTGGGTCCCCGGACCTCCCTCCTGTCTCAGTAAAACTTGGAGGCTCTTCTCCCTGAATAATCTGGTGTCCCTGGCCCCTTGCTTCCCTATCACGTCGCATCCTTACACTGGGCATAATGCAGTCGCAGAGGGGCGGGAACCCAAGCGAGCAACAAGTCTGGAAGCTATCGCGAGAGTCTACCCACTATATTTCCCCCACCCCCAGAGTCCTCCGAGCAGCAGGGGGCGTGGCAGTGCACAAAGGGAGGACTTCCGTAGTCCACATTTCCGGGATTTCTCGCAGGACCGACGGAAGTTGTAGTCCGGCGTTCTCGGGACGACTGCGGACTTCGGGCCACGCTGAGAGATGTTCCGTGCTGAACAAGAGCCTTCGCGGGGGCCGCCGGGAGTCGTAGTCCGGCACGTAGGGGCCGCCGGGAACTGTCGTCCTTCCCGCCTGCCCAGTCAGCGCTGTACTTCCCGCCCCGCACTCGGAGCTCAGAGCCGCCGCCCAGGGGGATGCGGGAGCCCCTGGTTTGGGGGAGCAGAGAGGCAGGCGGGGTGAGGGACGTTGCCTGGCAACGGGCGAGCGTCGCGGTTGGGGTACGGGTCGGGGAAAGGGCTATTCCGTGGTATTCTGGGAGGGGGTCCTGTTGCCAGGTGACGGGAGAAGAGAATCCGGTTGTTTAGCAACAGGGAAGGGGAGTCTTCTGTTGCTAGGCAACCAGAAGAGACCCTGTTACCTAGAGACAGGGGAAGAGGATTCTTCAGTCGCTAAGTAACCAGACGACAGGCTCGTTACCCAGTTGGGGGAGGAGGGGGGTCCTCTGTTGCCAGGTAATCACAGAGGGAGCCTGTTATCTAGGGACAGGGGATCCCGCGGTTCTCTGTTGCTAGGTGACCACCGTAGGGACCCTTTCACTTAGGGAGGTGGCGATGTTGCCAGGTGAACAGAAGAGCCTTTTTCCTAGGAATAGGGAATGGAGGTACCCTGTTACCAGGACAATGCCTGGGGAGCAGGGTCAGGAGCCCAGTGTCCCCTCAGGCTGCTCGTAGCCCCTGCCTCAGTGGCGGTGTCCCCAGGGCCCGCTGGGAGGTTGAGCCTCCACATCCCGGGACTCTGAGTCCCTTCTCCCCCGACCACCCCACCAAGCAGGAGCCGAGGGCGGCATGTCCCAGGCCCCGGGAGCACAGCCAAGCCCGCCACCCTCCGTGTACCACGAACGGCAACGCCTGGAGCTGTGCGCCGTTCACGCCCTCAACAACGTCCTCCAGCAGCAGCTCTTTAGCCAGGAGGCTGCCGATGAGATCTGCAAGAGGTGACCGTCACCCACCCTAACCCCTGGGAAAGCAGGGCTCACAGAGGCAAGCGGCCCACCTGGGTCTCATAGCGAGGCCGGGGCAGAGAGAGCTGTTATCTAGGGACAGGGGATCCGGATATGGAGACTGGACCCTGGGACTCAAGAGATGGAGACTGCCTCCCACACCTGTGCGTCCTTTTAGCCCCAGCCCCAGCTCAGGCCTCACCCTCTCTTACCTGGGCCCTGTCCCCACCTCCCCTCTGGCCTCCCAATTTCTTTTTTTTCTCCTCCAGCCCAGCTGCGCCGGGGCCCAGTGCTGCCCCTGCCCCTCCCCCACTCACAGCCCTTCGTGGCTCTCTGGCATCTCCCAGCGTCTCAGGCCCCACAGCCTGACTGCCACGGCCCTGCAGGCTCTGGTTCCCACCTGCCTCAGCAGCTTCGTATCTCACTGCTCCCCCCAAATTCCTCTCCAGCCCCTGAATGAGCCCACTATGATGGCTCGGGGCCTTTATGGGGGCTTTTTTTTCTGCCTGCCACGGCCTCCTCCTCTTGGTAGCCTGGAGGGTTCCTCCTCACTATTTCAGGACTTCAAACATCACCTCTTTGTCATCTCTACCTGTGTCCTCCTCCCTGTCCGCACAGCCCGAGCCCCAGCTCAGGCCCCTGGTGGCCTGGACTCTCCCTTCTGCCTCTGGTCCCTGCTTCCAGGCAGTCCCTTATATGATCGCACACCTGGAGAGGACCCTGTCCCTGCTCTGGCTCACAGCCCTCCTGTAGCCCCCAGCATTCTCAGGCAAAGTACTATAGCCCCTCAGACTGACTATTACAGAATTTATTCATCTCCTCCGTCATTCGAAACAGGGATTGGTCAGCTCTTCTACACCCTGCCCTGAGGGAGGTGAGGGAGACCAATACACAGAAAAATAATAGACAACTGTTCCCTCTCTGGCTGCTCCCCCTGCCCTGCCAACCAAGGGCCCAGAGAGAGAACAAAGGCGCCATTGTTCAGAGGAAGCAGGACCCAGAGAGATGGGTGAAGGCAGGGTGGGCCTCCTGGGCCAGGGGACCAGGTCGGAAGAAAGGCTGAGAGGCAGGAGCTCAAGAAATGTGCTTGGGGACAGGTGTCTGGGAAGTCGGGGGTAGGACTGAGGCTAGGAGGCCAGTAGGGACCAGACCATGTGAAGGGGCTGGAACTCTCTCCTGGGGTGACAGGGCCTGGGGCGGGGGGGGGGGTGGGGGGGGGGGGGGGGGGGGGGGGGGGGGGGGGGGGTGGCGCAGGGTCAGCACAGGCTATGGAAAGAGCCCCCGGCCCTGTGGGAGACGGACCAGAGGTGGGAGACTGGAGGCTGGGTGAGGGTCCAGGTGGAAGAGGATGAGCCCTGAGCCGGGGACCGTCGTTGAGGACAGGGCAGAGTCGGGGAACAAGTGGAATAGGGTTTGGGGCTGATGAGTCATGGGGGTTAGGGAGAGGTAAGAGTCCAAGAGTCCATGACTCACGGACCCTGTGACCCTCCTGCTTAGTGGGGAGAGTGAAGCTTTTCCAGGTGCCCCCAACTCAGGTTCTGACCACCCCCAACTAGGTTGGCCCCAGACTCCCGGCTGAACCCCCATCGCAGCCTCCTGGGCACCGGCAACTATGACGTCAACGTGATCATGGCTGCCCTGCAGGGTCTGGGCCTGGCCACCGTGTGGTGGGACCGGAGGCGGTGAGACCCAACCCAGGGAGCTGCGTCACGGGTGCTGAGCACGGCACAGTGGGCGCCGAGGGTAGTCAGTGTGGGCGGGGCAGGAGGGGACGCGGGCGGATGGTGGGAGGTTTGCACGGCTGGGTGATGGCCCGCCCGTGGGCTTCATGGTAGGTGGGGTGTGGGAGGAGCTGCTGGGGGGTGACCAGGAGACCGGTGGCAGCTGGGTGACTGAGTGGATGGTCAATGGCTGGGTGGTGTGTGGAGCAGGTGGTGGCTGGATGGCAGGGTGTGTGAATGGAGGGATAGCTGAGGGGTTCGCTGACTAATGGACAGTTGGTAGGCAGTGGAGGGCAAACAGGTGGACGGACAGGTGGGTGGGGAGCCGCGTGGCTCGTGGTGATTGTGGCACTCAGTGGGTGACTTCCAGGTGAACAGGACGGGGCAGTTGGATGGGGGATGGTTTAGGAGGCTGGGAGGTTTGGGTGGTGGTGGCTCCGTGGCATGTAATGGATGCACACTGGGTAGAAGCAGTGTGGGTGTGGGGAGAGTGGGCTGGGAGCTGGGCGGCTGGTGGCTGGAGGGGTGGGTGGTGGTGGGATATGAACAGGAGAGGGGAGATTGGATGGGGGACAGCTGACTGGGGGTTCTTCATGGGTGGTGGGTAGCTGGGTAAGGGGGTCCATGAAGGATGGATGGTGGGTGGGTGGAGGGTGGACAGCAGAGTGGAAGGGAACAGGGCGGGCTGGCTCAGAAGGGTCCTTGGGCAGGCTCGGTAACCCCCTGACCGCGGTGCCCCCCCACCTCACACAGGCCTCTGTCCCAGCTGGCCCTGCCCCAGGTGCTGGGGCTGATCCTCAACCTGCCCTCGCCCATGTCACTGGGGCTGCTGTCCCTGCCAGTGCGCCGGAGGCACTGGGTGGCCCTGCGCCAGGTGGACGGCGTCTACTACAACCTGGACTCCAAGCTGCGGGCACCTGAGGCCCTGGGGGATGAGGACGGGGTCAGGTGAGGGCGTGGTGACGCTGGGGCTGGGGCGGGCACTAGACCTCCTCCCAGGAGGCAGCCCCCAGGCCTGCTGGGCCTCAGCCTCCCCATCTCTCTGCCCAGAGCCTTCTTGGCTGCTGCTCTGGCTCAGGGCCTGTGCGAGGTGCTGCTGGTGGTGACCAAGGAGGTGGAGGACACGGGCTGCTGGCTGCGGACAGACTGACCCCTGGGCGGAGGGAACCACAGCCCCCGGCCCAGCACCTCCGCCAGGCCCCACACCTCATGGACCCCACAAAGCCCCAGCCCCTTCTCCACACCCCTGCTCCCCAGTGCCGCTGCTGCCTCAATAAATCTGATGTGCCCAGGGCTGTGTGTCCCTCCCCAGGGCAGTGTGTCCCTCCCCTAGGGCTCTGTGTCCCTCCCCCAGGGCTCTGTGTCCCTCCCCTAAGGCACTGTGTCCCTCCCCCAGGGCTGTGTGTCCCTCCCCTAGGGCTCTGTGTCCCTCCCCCAGGGCTCTGTGTCCCTCCCCTAAGGCACTGTGTCCCTCCCCCAGGGCTCTGTGTCCCTCTCCAGGGCTCTGTGTCTCTCCCCAGGGCTCTGTGTCCCTCCCCCAGGGCTCTGTGTCCCTCCCCAGGGCTGTGTGTCCCTCCCCAGGGCTCTGTGTCCCTCCCCCAGGGCTGTGTGTCCCTCCCCCAGGGCTGTGTGTCCCTCCCCCAGGGCTGTGTGTCCCTCCCCAGGGCTCTGTGTCCCTCCCCCAGGGCTGTGTGTCCCTCCCCAGGGCTCTGTGTCCCTCCCCTAAGGCACTGTGTCCCTCCCCCAGGGCTCTGTGTCCCTCCCCCAGGGCTCTGTGTCCCTCCCCAGGACCTGCCGCCCCTCCCTGCAACTTCCTGTCCTGTCCGTCCTGGCGTCCTCAGCCCCATGTCTAGGTCTGGCCTAGGCGCCCAGGGGCTTGCCCTCCCCAGTTCCCAGGCTGGGAGGAAGGCACAGGAGGGCCTGCAGCCCCCCGTTCTGGTGGTGGCAGCTCTAAGAGGGCTCCATGGGGTGCTGTGGGGGCCACAGGAGGCCGGGGGGCCGGGGAGACGAGCTCTAGGAGGCAGAGGGAAGCTTGCCAGTGGGCCCACGCAGGGAGGGCTCTTCCAGAAATGAAGCGACTGTGCATGAGGAGATGAGAGACCAGGGGGTCCTGGCCGGACCCAGAGCCCTGAGGGCCTCCAGGGGCAGCGAGGGGCCAGACTCATCCCGGGCAACAGGCGGGCTGGAAAGAGGCCGTGGGTCCCCGTGGGAGAGGCCAGAGGCTTGGTCTCGGACCTTGGGGAGGGAGAGGAGGGGACAGAGAGGCAGGCCAGCCCTGGGCCTGATGGGCTGCTGGGGGAGGGGACAGTGGTGCCACCCCCAGCGGAGGGAACCCTCGGAGGAGAAGTGGGTTTGAGGGACACGTTGTGCTCATCGGAATGTAAGAAATATGACAGGCTGGGGACATCAGGGAGGGGAACCCTGGGTCAGGGGCTGGGGAGATGGCCTCAGGACCCATGGTCAGGTGGGAGCTTGATGTGTGTGAGCAGGGAGGGAAGCAGGCAGGGGGGCCCGGGTTAAAGGTCCCCCTTTACGGGGGGGCAGCAATGGAGGACTCAGGGGCACAGGGAGGCCTGAGGCCCCAGCTTGGGGTGTGTCTCCCCACTCAGCCAAGGCCGGGCTCCACCTGGCCAGTAAATCCATCGGACAACGCAACCGAAACCCTGACACAGAAAGAAGGCGGGGTGCAGCCAGCAACTGTGCGTCAAAGTGGCAGGGGATGCGGGACATGGGCGGGGTGGGTTCTGGTTCCCCAGACTTCCAGAGGTCAAAGGGCGACTGGTAAAGTGAAACTCCTGGGGTGCCAGGACACCCCAACTCTGGGCCCCCTGCCCCCACCCTGCAGCCCCTCCAGCTGGCTCTGGCTCTCTGATTACCTCTCTCTCCCTGCAGTCCCTCTCGGTCTCTTTCTAGATGGTTCCCTGTCTCTCGGGCTCAGCCTTTCAGGCCCCTTGTCCAACCTGGGCCCCTCGGTCCCCTCCCGCCCCATGCCTGCCGCCTGTCTGGTCACCATCGCAGACAGCCCAGCGGGACTCCCGACTGCTTCTATTCCGGGCAGAGTGGCCTCCCCAGGGGCCCTCTCAGCTGTGGCCTAATATGGTTGGAGAGGAGCTGGCAGGCCAGGGGGACCAGAGCGGCAGGGAGGGGTCTGCTCCTGGCTCCCCTCAACACTAACTCTCCTGCTCTGCACAGGTGATAGCCCTGGGCATTGATTAAGCACTTACTGTTTGCCGCTCACGGTGCAGAATGCCCCTTGCACCTCACCAGCCCCCACCTGCCAGGGCTCCCCTTCTCAAAGGAACATGCCTGACTCATCTGTCCCTTGCCCCAAGATGCCCAGCCAGGCTGCCCCGGAGCTTGGGAGAGTGGGGGGCTCCCGAGGGTCCCTGGCTGCCTGTTGTGGGCACCCTATGAAGACCCACAGGGGCCTCTCAGCTCCTGCCTGGCTGTGGGGGGGCTGCAGTCACGCGGCAGGTGCAGGGGGAGTGACAGCTGTCCTGCACCCCCTGGGTGCTGACAGCTGGGGCCCGATTTAGCTCACAGAGCTGGGCATGGCCAGAAAAGGCAGTGGGGGCATTGGCTCCGCCCCCAGGGCGCCCCTTAAATCAGCAGGTCCAACCAGGGCGGGGGGGGGCCGCCACCGATGCCAGGTGAGAGGGACCACACTCCTTCCCGACTTCGCGAGTCCTGCCCCCAGCGGTTGCCCAAGGAGCTCTTCCCAACTCTCTCTCTCCCCCACCCTCCGTCTCTCTGTCTC